ATTTAGGTGGTCTACTCTAATTTTGGAATAGTCTAGTTTATTTTCTGGAGAATCGTTGATATTATTAAGATCAAATTCTTGACATATCGTCGGATGTATAGACTGGTAAAATGGTTCAACAGAAAGGGGTTCAGAAAAGTCGAGTGTAACGGTATCTGTCGTATTGTTCAGTAAGGTCGTCAAAGCATAACTATCTTTCGCAATAGTCAAGCATTCCGGTATTTCACAATTATGGATTTTTTGGTGGGGTATAATAATTTCGCCATCGCTTATGGATGTTTTAACTTTTATGACAAGCTCAGTGCGAGGTTCGATGGTAACAAAATTCAAATTATTCTTAGGTTTTTGATAAAGCAACTTGATTTTTGCATACGGTGTCACAAGAAACCCTTCTTGAAATAAGAGTCTTGCCTGTAATTCTTCTAAGTTATCCATACCGATCAAACCATTGAAAAAATCATGAAACTTGAACAAGTAAAATTTTAATTCCTTTAGATGAGGCAAATTGAAAATTTTGGATGCTGGTATTAAAGTACTGAATTTATGGGCGGATTTCTGAAATACAGTCGAAACAATGAATGGTTCATTTTTGATTTGTTGTGGAAAATATTTGAATGCGATGTCTGGATCTATAAATGACTTAGTAGACCCGCAGTCAATCAAAAGTTTTATGTCATATTCGGGAAAAACTATATAGCTCAATCCTTTTGTGTTGCTAGCATTGAACGATATAATTTCACTGTTTATGTCGGTTGAATAACCTGGCTGGCTGGGGGAAAATTTCCATTTCCTGACGTCGAGGTTGGGTTGGGCATGTCAAGTTCATTATTTTGATCGGTATTGTAATGATCGTATTGACAAATATTTTGGTTGGGGTCATCATAGAATTCATCGTAATTATTTTCGACGTTAGTAGCAAAATTGCCTGTATCATAAGTTTCATATGTTGCGTTATCATTTAACTCGGTGTTATACAGTTCCTCAAAGATAAAATTTTGCTGAGGTCGAGGTGTGTTCGCCGGAATTGGAGCGAATGGTGGACGTATTGTGTTTCTTGTGCTGACACTCATCGGTGTCGGCCTTGGAAGATTTCTTGGATTTGAAGAATTGGGCTTAAAAACGTTTGTATTCGGATTCTTTGTTTGTTGGTTGCCAAAGACTTCAGCGTTAGTCGGGAAACGCTGATTTAAGTTTGGCCTAGGTTGAATTTGGATGGGTTGAGATGGGAATTGCGTACGGAAAAAGCTATTAGGCGTACGAGAATTAAAATTTTGATAAGGCATATTAACTGGGCGTGCAGGTCTGAACTGCGAATTTTGAAAATTTGTAAAATTCTGTGAATCTGTCTTAACTCTATATGAAACGTTTTGGAAATAATGCACATTTTGTTCTTCAATCACTAATTGAAGAGCTTCGCTCAAGGAGGTTGGTTTCATGCACCTGACAGTGGTGCCCAATGGTTCTTTCAAGCCTGAAAGGAAAGTCTTTAACGCAAGTTTTTGATACAAATCGCGTTTTATTGCTTTACCACTTTCGGTAGCTTCGTGGATATTAACGTAGCTACACAGATTGTTTAAAATATGCAAACATCTTTCGTGAAATTTTTGAGGGCTCTCATTTTGATATTGCTTTAGTAAGCAAAGGTCTCTATGTAAGCACACTTCATCACGTTGGTCAGAAAAACTAGTAACTAATAAAGTTTCGAGTTCACTCCAGGTGTTCACTGAATGAATGTTTATTAAAGATTTGGCATGTCCTCTCAGCTTTGAAAGAATGGAGTTCAATAAAAATGTATTTTGAAAATTGTTTGGATTGGAATGATCATAAAAATTGTCAATCAAGGATTTGCTTACACGCAAAAATCGATTGAGATCGTTACTGTTGCCGTCAAATTCGGGCACACAACTTAAGTATTCGGGCCTAAAAGTAGCCATAGTTGTAGTAATACTTGTAGGTATTGAATGTACAGGGACTTGTGAAAGTATGGGCTTACGTAGTATATTAGAGTACCGTCGAGTATTTGGAGAGTCAGTATTAAGGTCCAAATTCTCAAGGGCTTGCGATATATCAATACTCATTGAAATTTGAAGCGATAAATGGAAAAAAATAAACTGCACTTACAACACTAAGAAAGCGATCTTTAGCATCTCTTACTCCTATAAAGATCCTAGCTGGTTCTGCAATGTTGTCTTCCCCAGGCTGGAATCCTTGCGAACTTGGGCAATGTGGTCCCAAATTCCGATGCCCTTCGTATGTAGCTGTTCACGCCGGTTCCTCGATGGATTGGGTATCCAAAAATATGAATCCACTCCAGTGCTCACTGCCACTACACGAATGCCACCAAGTCCAAAAGGCCGGATAGAGTCCCGAAAAGTCCCGTCGCGACGGTTTGCGAAAGTCTTTCCCGGGTCGCGTATTTCTGATCCTACTGGATTGACTGCGCCAGTTATAAGATCGATGCTTCGAGATCGCTTTTTAAAAAGTTTATTTTTCGAAAATACAAAACTCAAAACTGTACTTTTACAAAATTATTACAATGTTATTACGATGTAAACAGTACAAAGGCTTAAATCTGACTGACTCTAAAATGTGTTGAGAACAATAAAGTAAACTCTAGGTCTTCTAGGAAATTAGTAGCATCGTCGGCAGTATTCCTATCATATCAGCAGGAACGGCTGATATAACTCATGGTAGCTATTCCTCGTTTTTCCGTTTCACAATCCGATGACTTTGTTTCAAGCAAAAGCAAGTCCTTGTTCAGTCTACTAAAAATTGATGACAGTTTTCAGGACGAGTTTCCAATTTTATGGCTACATAATAATTTTTTTCAACACGCTAAGAATAAGGTGCAAACAATAGGAGCAGATAATGATACGGCTGAAAGAGCAGTCAAATGAATGCAAACCATGGCCTAATCACTGCTGATGAGACACAAAAGTTCCGAGTGTAAAAAGAAAGCTTTGAAAAGAAAATTTAGTAAATAGTGTTCTTTTAATGATAAATATCTAGGAAAAATAAGTTACAAATAAAGCATTGTTTTGTTTGTCGAATAAGAATTAGGTTTTGAAATCCATACATGGTTTCTCTATTAAATTCCTTATTCGGTTCCCGCTTGCTATAATATTAATTTATTTTTTTGACTTGTATGAGTCAATTGGAATAATCTTTTGAACTTGTAAAAACCTGAGAGTCGCAGTCTCAGAGCTTCGCTACCTTGCACTGACTTGTTCAATTCGTCACTCTATAAATACGAATGTGGGACAAATACGTTTATTCGTTTCCGGAATCTAGAAAAGGAAAGTGATAAGAAAATATTTTAAAAATATAAACAGATAGTATATCACACAAATTATAGTGAGTCAGTGTTATTTTGTTTGAGAGTGCTGGAGAAAACTAAGAACATTATTTTTTATTAAATTTTAGTTTTGTACTCGTAGTTAGCAAAGATAAATAAATTACGCCAATCATGACTTTAGTTATTAATAGTTAAATATTCAATCATGCAAAATTACACGAGTACTCCTCAATAGTTTCTTTTTGAAAGTTTTAGCAATCGGTAATATAATTACAGTGCAATCTCCGTAATTCGAGCTAATTGTTGCAAGGAGATGTTCGAATTATGGAATGTTTTCGGAAAAATCAAGAAATATGTTTAATATACAGCTGCTGGATTTTCTGTCTTATTTAAATAATTTAATTTTGCCCACAGGTGACTGATGCCATGTCCGAATCTAAAAAGAAATGTAGACAGTACAGTGTTGATTATTTGAAATTTGGCTTCATTCCATCATTGCCGGACAAACAATCGCCTTTTATGCAACAAAGTTTTGGGCAATGACGCTATGAAACCATTTAAACTGCACAATCATCTGAGAAGATGCCACCCTGATAAAACAGAGAAAGATTTGAAATACTTCCAAACACTCAAAGATAAATTTCAGAAGAGACCTACACTGGACAGAATGTTCGCTTCGACGTCACAAAGAAATGATGATGGTTTGCGGGCGTCTTACAATATCTCGTTACTTATAGCAAAATCCGGAAAACCGCATACTATCGGAGAGAAGTTAATTTTGCCAGCCGTTGAAGAGGTTTTAAAAACTGTTTTACACAAACCTGCATCTGATATCATTAAAAGAATTTCCTTAAGCAACAATACTGTTGAAAGACGTATTGATGAAATGAGTTCTGATATTGAAATTATTTGCAAACGACCCATTTCTCTATACAACCGGACGAGTCAACTTTACCTGATAATGCAGTATTATTATTGGCATATGTTCGTTTTATTATGAATCAAGAAATCTACGAAGAACTGCTCTTCGCAAGAACTTTGATAACCTGCACTAAAGGTGAATCAATATTTCATGTTTTGAAGGATTACTTCATTGAAAAAGCAATTCCTTTATCGAATATAATATCAGTAGCTACAGATGGAGCACCTGCCATGGTTGGACGTTGTCGTGGATTTATAAGCTATTAATTTAAAACAAAATGTGTCAGGGGTGTTAGCAATAGATTGCGTCATCCATCGACAACATTTAGTTGCTAAAAATTTGAGTGTTAGATTGCATGAATCACTTCATTTAATCATTGATGCAGTAAACCGAATCCGAAGCAACGCGTTGAATACACGGTTATTTGCGCACTTGTGTGAAGAAAATGACGAACACTTTCATCAATTACTCCTTCACACTGAAGTACGCTGGCTGTCGAAAGGCTTATGTTTGACAAGGTTTTTTGCACTTTTTGAGACTATTTTAGAATTTCTGGATACTAAAGATAAAATTTTAACAGAAAATTTAATGAAGAGGAAAACAGGCATCGCTTATTTAACAGATTTGTTTACAAAATTTAATATGGATAATTTGCAATTACAAGGCGACAGTTTAAATTTGATTAAAACAAAGTCCATCTTATCAGCGTTTCTTGCCAGAGTTAAACTAATGAAGCAAAATATTGGACGGGGCGAATTTTCTCAGTTCCCCAATTTGTCACAGACAAACTGCCAGGAAGACGACGTTTCAACTTACGTTCAACATTTAAATGCCCTCTATTCAGATTTTGAATCTAGGTTTGAGGATATTTTGACTATGGTAATACCACCGTGGATAATTAATCCATATGGTGACATAGAAGAAACGAATGTCATAATACAAGAGGAACTGACTGAACTAAGTACAAACGAAGAACTTAAGGTTCAGTTCAAAAACGGATATCAGCAATTCTGGCTGCAAAACAACATACATGTTACTTATCCCGTATTATGGAATATAGCGACGAAATTTTTAAATTCCTTTCCGTCGTCATACCTAGTGGAAAGGGGGTTCAGCGCTGTTACCAATCTCCTAACGAAAAAAAGAAACAGACTGGACATCATTAGCCGAGGAGATTTAAGATTAACCCTTACAAAATTGACGCCAAATGTTGATAATTTATTATTAAAGCATCAGGTTCATCCTTCTCACTAAAAATATTGACTTATTGCTTATGTTATTTTATTTATAGTTTATTTTCTGTTTATTGGTGTCTGACCAATAAATGCCCGCATTGGGTATAAGTGCCCGCATTGATTTATTTAAAGAACCTCCCTTTAAGGAAATATTTTTTTAAATTATTCTGAAAATTCCAGGATAGGTACACACTAAAATTCGTTAATTTTTTGCCTATTTTTAGATAACTTAAACGAATAAGAAGCGGAATTTAATGAAACTAACAGCTAAATTATTGTGGAACATACGTTTATGTTATAATTAATAAACGAACTCGCTTATTGTAATATTTTAAGTGAAAAACTTTTTTTTTATTATTTTTCATTTTTTTTTATTTTATCCCTCTTATTTTGTTTTGCAATGCGGGCACTTACTCCCAATGTGGGCACTTATTGGTCAGACACCTGTTTATTTAATGTTACGTATATATTACATGACAGATACAAAATTTTATTTCGAGTAGTCTTAATTTAAATTCAATTAAAAAATGTATAAATTAACATCTGTTTTTACTTTAAGTTTTTAACACTAAACTTCACTACAGTTCGAAATTTACAGGAAATCAATATCAGGTAAGTAGGGGGCCTACCCAACACGGAAAAACGTGGCAAGCGGCCTACGACACAAAAAAGTTGGGGGAACTCTGATCTAGAGGATATACGTAACTCAACGCAAACAAAAATTTGTTTATCCTCATAGCCTGGGACACCTTATGTTCGTAGCTAACTTTTCGCTCAGAACTTGTACCGAACAAAATCCTTGACAATGTTGCGTGGGGAATGCAGAATGCACCTACATCACTACCCACTATTTCCCAACATACATAAACTCCCAATTTGTTTTAGGGATTGAGTTAAACATAGAATACCAGCAAATAGGTAAACCTTCACAGAACGCCCCGCCCGTGCTAACCTTTTAAGCAGAGGTAGCGGCGGTACAGCGTCCTACTATATAATGGGATTATTTTCGTGGACTACAGCCCCTGAATGACGAAAAATGCGGAAACCACAAAGCAGCGCCAGCGCATCCCGTTGAATGGGTCTTTACGGCCATACAAAACCGCTCGGCCACGTGGCTCTTATTTTCAGTACTTGCCGGTCACAGTGGAAATTAAACAAATTGCCGGGACATCGAGAACTTGTGCGACCAGGATTTTTGGATGCTACTTAAGTTAATGTATATGAACAAAGGAATTTGCTCTAGATACTTTTGCTTAGCAGAAGATCTAATAATATTAATCACCTTTATTCATTGATAGCATGCTACAAGGATATCAAATTGCTACCCGGAAAAAGCAAAGTTCATCTTTCATTCTTAGGGGAATAGTTGGACTTCTAGTTTACCCTAATTATATTTGCCAGGGGCGTTTTTAAAAACTAACTTTTATTTCCCGCTTGATGAATCTAACTACCACTAAGTAGAGTTAGAGTGCAAAAAAGTGTAGACACTGTGGTTAGGTGTTGTCAGGCATGGCTTCGAGAAGGCCGTACGCAAAGAGCAAGGGGCACTGGACGCCGCCGTAGAACAGACCGTGAAGATCGCCGCCTAAGATTATTGGCTTTAAGGGACCGTTTCTCCACTACCAGGTCCATTGCAAATGAATGGTTTGCAGAACACGGAAGACCTATTGGCATGCGAAGTGTTTACCGACGAATGAGAAGTTTTGGCTTGTTTTCATACCGGCCACACTGGGTCCTCCCTTTAACTCGAGAACACCGACGTAATCGCCTTGAGTGGTGCAGACAACGGTCACTCTGGGATCAGGAATGGAACAGTATTGTCTTTAGTGACGAGTCTCGATTTTGTTTAGGCATGCTCGATGGTCGTGCCAGGGTTAGAAGGCGACGTGGTGAAAGGAGGAATCCACAGTTTTTTGTTGAAAGACATGTTCATCACACTGTTGGAGTTATGGTTTGGGGTGCTATAGCTTATGGTTCCAGGTCACCTTTAATCTTATATCCACGAAGTTCTAGAACCCCATCTTTTACCCTATCTTGACACCGTGGCAGATCCAACTTTCCAACAAGATAATGCCCGACCACATGTTGCAAGATCCACAATAGACTTCTTTCAACATAATGATGTCACATTGTTACCATGGCCACCAAGATCTCCCGACCTAACCCCAATTGAGCACGTGTAGGATATGATGGGTAGGAGATTGCTCAATTTGCAACGTCCTCCTCAGACTCTAGAAGCACTTCGAGAGGAGTTGGTGGTTGCCTGGAATGAGATACCACAGGAGGACATTGACCACCTGATCCGAAGCATGCCTAGGCCCGTTGGAGAATGCGTAGCACATCAGGGTGCATCCACACATTATTAAAGGTCAAAGGGCTTCAAAGCAGTGCAATCATTTTGAAATTTTTATCATTTATCTATTGTGCTTCATTAAGTACTTATACAAAATTTTATTACCATTTAAACTGGGTGTTCGAATTTATATATCACTTAGTATACTAAGTCGAAAACGAATTTCGAAATAACTGGAACAGTATAAATACTAATGTATCTGCTTATTGTCGATTAATAGATTTGTTATGAGTTGGAATGCAGCATACAACAACATTGTTGCTGAACTGCAATCAATTAGAAAACCGATACGATATAATTAGAACGAAATGAAAGTCATTCTCGACAAAGTAACAAAAAACATTCGTGCAGGTGCAAAAATTCTCGTCTACGACTCGGGTTTTTGTTGCCACCAGCACTCACGGTTCTTGTTGAAATGTGAATTATCAACGTGTTTTTTTATCAGTATTTTTTTTTTCGACATAAATAGATGCCCTTATGATATACTGACTGACAAACAAAGCTAAACACCTACTTATGTCTATCCGATTTTAATAATTTGTGGCACATATGTTCAGTGTCCCTTACTAGTGAAATGATTAAATTTTCAGCTTGATTCATCAACTGACTGCAGAAGCTGGTTCGATAATGTGTTGAGGATCCACGATTTCTCATACACTCATATCCTGTTGGGGTATCCCATTCCAGGCTACTGCAACTTTGTGAGTATCACCAAACAATACACGCAGCCACCATAACTTAAAAGAAAAACCTGACCATTTTGTCACTAGTTGTTCAAAGCAAAATGAATCGATATGAAAAAAATTCTTGAATTCTAATAAACATACAGGTACCTTTTTTTGTCACTGAGTATATTACTAATGAAAATATCCATAGGCCTTCGTGCGTCCATGAGCTGGACAAGCGTTTGTTTTCCTGATAAACTTTCCGAATCTGATGTACTCGTAATCTAAATCCTGGAGCCCAAGGGTGAAACAAAGCGGCACAGATTATGACCGAAATGAGTCCCCACAAGCAAATACATTTTATGGATTACGTTTACCAGCCCTTTTTGATGAGTCGGCCATGGAACACGCGCTGCGTTCAGGGCAGAAGTTGAAAAAAATGCAATTTAACTCTAATGACTGTAATTAATGTTGCGTAACAACTGACGCTGAGGCACGGAATCCTTCGAACGAATGCAAATTTAGAATGTACGTACATTGTTTCGTAACGAGAAGAGGCATAATATACCGGGTGTTGCAAAATCGAGCAATACGATTGGGATGTCGGAAACGGTAAGCGATACGAAGTCGCTTGAATGGAGGCAAAGGTAACTAAGAAGATGCCTACTACACCTCCCCTGATACTAAAAAACATTCCCGCACATTTTTCAATATTTGAGGAGTAATTTGAAGGCACTTATTCACAATTCTTCGTCGCAGGTCTTCTAATGATGTTGGCTGAGTAGCATTGATTTTGCTTTTTAAATGACCCCAATAAAGGTGATAAATCTGGAGATCTTGGGGGCCATTCAGTAGCACCTCTTCTACCAATCCATCGATCTGGAAACGTCTGATCTAAATATTGTCGAACATCAACCTATTCGCAATGTTCAATTATGGCTTCCTGTAATTCCAAATACATTTCACCGGTCAAATTTCTATTAAACAAAAAAGGACCTACTAAATGATCGTCAAAAATACCAGCCCAAACATTTAGTTTTTGTGGCTGTTGTGTATGAACATCATGATAAATTCTGTACGAGATATTTCCTGATGTTTCAAGAAATAACTTTTTTGCCACAAAAAAACGCTCCAATAGCTATTTCCAACAACAAAATGATAAACAAACCATGGGCGTAGTGAAGAAAAGCATTTACTTATTGAGTAAATTCTTTTAGTCCAATTTCTTCTGAAAGTAGTGCAAACCAATCTGATGTACCTATTAAAGTCTACTTTAAGCTTAAATCAATAAATCTTCAAAACTACTGAACTGAAGCTCATGTATTCTACATCATTATAAAGGGAATTGGAAGACCTTTAAATAAGGTATCACTCGACCTCCCTTTCCATTTAATATTTTAGGGTTGGTGTCACCCCCGCCCAGGAGCTGCACGTGTTAACGTGATTTTTTGCGTCCCCCGCGAAAACAAAATCGACGGGTCTGAGCGTTTTTTCCAAAAAAAAAAACTGAGCTGCCAGTGAATGCGTCTGTTTCGTTTCCGATTCGCGACCCTGTATAAAGTATTATGTTCATATAAACTTTTCTTCTTTAAATGAGCCATCATTCTGTATTTCTTGCCATCAACTAAATTACATCCTGTATAGGTCCCCCAATTTTCGAAGGGACTTATTTTTCTTTGTTTAAATTAGTATTGAAACATTATACCAAGTCGAAAACGAATTGGAACAGTATAAATAATAATGTATCTGCTTGTTGTCGATTAATAGATTTGTTATGAGTTGGAATGCAGGATACACTAACATTGTTGCTGAACTGCAATCAATTAGAAAACCGATACGATATAACTAGAACGAAACAGTCATTCTCGAATCTTGATGTGGCATTGTTGTTATCAAATCGATATCCTTAATCCAGATAGAATCCAAAGATTGCCGATATTAAACGGCGAACAAGACCTTCCTGCCCCATACTCGAATTTTATCGGACATACTTCCGCGAGG